CCTCTTCAACAACCCACTAAATGCCCTGATTTATACAACTAAAAATGTCTCTCAGTTCAGTTCACTCGCTCAGTCATGTCCTATTCTCTACGACCCCATGGACTGCAGCACGCCAGACTTCCCTGTCCATCACCAACTCCCAGACCTTGCTCAAACTCATGTCCCTCAAGCCGGTGATGCCATCCAACCACCTATCCTGTCATACATTGCCAAATGCCCCTTGGAGAGAAAATGGCACCTCGTTGAGAACTACTGCATAATTTCTAAACTGATATCACAACCCAAGCATTTAAAAACTTCTTTCTTCCCACACCTGACATTTGTTCTGAATTCATCTCTCTTAAGACTTCATCACTAGAGCTTCCCAGGTGATCAGTGGTAAAGAAACCTGCCAAAGCAGGAGACGAAGGTTCAATCCTTGGGTCAGGGAAGACCCCCTGGAGAAGGCAATGGCAACCCACTCCAGTATTCTTGCCTGGGAAATCCCATGGACAGAGGAGCCTGGCGGGCTGCAGTCCATGGGGTCACAATGGTTGTACACGACAGAGTGACTAAACAACAATGAAGACTGCATCATTAGTCAGCCTACATCCTAGCTCTACTCTGTCATTTTCAACAGTCACACTACCGCCAAAATTTATCCTCTAAACCTTCACAGCTTAGATGAAATGTCTGTAGAAACTGCCCTCATTACCAACATGAAGAATTACTATAAACTCTTTGGATATATACAAAGTCAATTACATCATTTCATTTTTGTGTGTCTGTCTCCCCCACTAAGATATGAACTTTTCCTCAGCAGGGGCCAGATTCATGTCTATATCCCTAGTACCCAGAACTAGCAAGCATTTAAAGGTTTTGTTTTCTTGGTTTTTTTTTTTTTAATTCAAATGTAATTAAACAAATTACATACACCACCAAAATATATGGATCCTTTTGCTTTAAATACATCATACACACACACACACACACACACAAAACCCAAATCACACAATAAAGCTTTAATCAACATGAATCTTATCCAAACAAATAGGTCCTGTTCCTAATAGGATCTGAAAGGATTCTCTAATTCATAATCCAAAACTTATTGGATATATTGAAGCCGTTGGAACTCTTCAAAACCAGATAGAGATTAAGTTTCCTAATCTTAAAACTCCTTTCAGCCTAGTACGGTTTTTCACGGGCATAAAACAGCATCACATTATTTTGACCACCAAAGCCCCATCCCGCACTAACTCCCTCTGACCACCAATTCATTTGTTAGCCCCCTATGTTTTTATTGGGCACCCCTCAGTACCAGGGGTACAAAGATGAACTAAAACAAGGAAACAAGAGTTTAGTTGGGGGTGGTGGGCAGGGAGAATGAACAAAGAAATGGTTAACAGTGGGTTATGAGGCGCTTATCTCAAGTCATCTTAGTTTTTCTTCAACTGTCTTATAGTTTAGTCCACTAGGAATGTTCTCAAAAGATAACTCAGCCACTAACTAATGTCTATCAAAAAGAATGACTTCACAGGAACTATCCTAAAATAAAAATCACACTTGGCAACTGTTTCCTAAAATGGGATAGGATATACAGCGTAATAGTCCACAACTCAATGCAGCAGGCCAACTCAAAGGGATACTTAACACTACCTTCAGCGATTAACTCATCTTGAAATGTTCACCAGGAAGTTCCATCATTTGATATTGAGGATTTTATGGCCACAGTATACAACTCATAAAAACAGCTATAAATAATTTCCGGCTACAACCATTATATCCTCTCTCTATAATCTATCTTTAGAGCTTGGCCATTATTTTTTCTACCTTTAGAGCAATCCCAGAACTGTTTTCTGAGAAAAACCTTGGTCCTGCCCACAGGATCCCTTTAGACATATACACTGGCAGTCCATTCAGGCCAAAATGCTGACTTGGTCAGGATCTGACCTCAGATATGCAGAACATGTGCCCTCAGGACTCCTGACTGAGAGTAAGAATGTAAAACCCTGTGCTGCCTGATGCTTATCAAAACTTGGTTACAAGAAATAATATTCATGAAACCAATTATTTAGGGATTCATTTGTTCCATAATTCAATCAAACATTCTCTAGGTGTCAGGAACCATTCTGGGTGCTGAGGAGAAGCAGAGTCCTGATAGTTTATGCATCCCTCCTTATCTCTGAACCAAGCCAAACCATCAGCAAGCAGTACACCTACACCCAGGTGGTTTGGCTCGCTGCAGAATGTTCACTGGTATCACCTAAACCTGGACTGAGCAGCATTATAAGAAGCAATCTTTAAAACAACTCTCTAGTATATTTATCACTGGGGATTTTTCCCCACAAAACCAGTGTCCCCATTATAAAAATCAATGAGAGAAATTTTTCTCTAAAAGTCAAAAAAAAGTGTGCCTCCCTTGAACATGTTTTTGATTTTACAGATTGCATGAATCTGGAAGTTGAGCTTTATTTTCTTCTTAGCTTTGTTCTAGGAAACTGAGAGCTAAATACGGAATCAACCTTTGGGAACTGTGAAGTACTTTCTAGTCTATATACTAACTTCGCCACTGATTTAATTTTATTATTCTTCTCTCATGTCTTCTTTGCCTTAACATCTTTATTTTCAATCCTTTTACTATATATGTTTAGAAAAGAGGTGGTAAATAAAAGGCATTTAATGTGCTTTTTAACATAAAATTTATTGGATACTTTCTATGTGCCGGGCACTATATTGAACACTTAATGACCCTATCAGAGTTGAACTGTTATTATTTCCATTATACAAAGGAAGAAGCTGGGGTTCAGAGAGGTTTATTACTTTGTACATCATCTCAAAACTCGTATTTGATAGAGCTAGGATTCAAATTCAGCCCAAACCATTACATGTGGGTGTTATCTACAAGCTATCGTAGGTATGAACTAAAAGGAAGGTTAAGGACAGGGTAGAAAGTCCGAATGGAAGATGTGATGTCTGAGGGAAGTCTTAAAAGGGGGGAGCTTGCCAAGGAGTGAGCAGAAAGTATTCCAGAGAGAAAAAGGAATCGTGCAAAAACCTAAACATAAGTTCTGGGAATGGCAAACAGAACACAGAGTTATATTCAGCAATTAATTCATTGTGAAGGGTTCACCAGAAAGTTATTTAATATGAGACATTTAGTAGCTCCATTATGGAGAATTTCCAAGGCCACAAAACTCAACTGTGGCTGGGAAAATAGGGAGAAGTGAAATAAAGGCAGTCTCTCTTTTTTTTCACTGAAGTATAGTTGAATTACAATGCTGTGTTACTTTCTGCTGTATAGCAAAGTAATTCAGTTAAAATTATATATACATACACTCATATATATATATACACACACTCATTTTTTAAATATTCTTTTTCTTTATGGTTTATCATAATAGAGAACAGTTTCTTTTCATGATGACACTAAAAAGTCTGAATTATGTTCAGTAAACAAGGGGAACCACATAAGAACCTTAAGCTTGAGAATTACAAGATCAACTTGCAAAGTATGTGAATCAATTACAGATTCAAGGTAGGGTACCCAGTCAGGAGGCTACTCTAAAAGTCTGGCAATGGGGTAATAAGAGTTAAACAAGGGCTACTGAAAAGAAAGTAAATGTAAACCATATTTGTGATCTTTAAATTCCCAGTAATGTTAGAAAAAAGAAAAAGAAAAAACTGAAATTAATTTGAGTAACAGTTTATTTAATCCAGTATATCTAAAATACTATTTCATGAAGTAATCAACATAAAAATTAATAATGAAAAATTTGCCATGCTCTTTTTGTACTAATTTGAAATTTGGTGTGTTTTTTAATACTTAAAATATATGCCTCATCTTGGACATTAAGTTTTCATTGGATAAATTTGAACTGTATTCAGATTTCATAATTTATAGATGAAAAAGCAGATTCACATACCCAAGTTGTTCCAGACATAAACATTTTCCAATAATTAAGTATCCATTTTTAAATTTAAATTAATTACAACTAATAATATTAAAAATTCAGTCCCTCAGTCATGCGAGTGACATTTTGAGTGTTCAACGCCATACATGGCTACCATATTGTCCAGTACAGGCCTAAAGAGTGATAAAGGAACTTTGGCTACTGACACCTTCCACCATCAGCATTTCATTATCTACTTACTGTTAAGATTTTCCAGGTATTAACATGGATAACTTAGCAAGTACTATTACAGCGGCCCTACTGGCCACATCCTCACTATTGTCACTTACTTTCTCTAGGCCAATGCCAACATCTGTGAAAAAGGAATCTTCAAATGACTACACAGAATGGCTACAAAGTACCTGACACATGGAATGTGCTCAGAAAATGGAATGGATGCACAGAATAATGCACTTGCTGCAGACTACTTTTGTATCTATTTTCCTGTGGTTCAGCTGTTTATTACACTCTATGTACAATGAATTTTTAAAAAGTTACCTATTTTCAATTATTTATTTATTAGAGGCATTATCCTAATCGTTAAAAGCTTCAGCTCTGGAGTCAGACTGCCGGGATTCCAATCCTGGTTCTATCATTTATTAGATGTATGATTTTGGGGAAAAGCTCAGCTTCTCTTGTGTCTCAGTTCTCTCCTGGGTAAAACAGTGATTAACTGTACACGCTTCCTTGGGGAGCTTCAAGGATTACAGAAGATAATACAAATAATCACCTGCACATCGTATCTGGCACATAGTAGGTGTTCAATAAACCTTAGCTTTTAAAACAGAGCTGGTGAAGAAGTTGAAATTACGGCTAACATAAAAAACTAGGACTTCTCAATTATCCACATCTGTTTGCCATATTATCTTAGATACAAAAAAACAAAAACAAAAAATAGTGTACAGGTAATACTTTGAGGTCCTCAGAAGAGAGATCCTGCACACAGCTACACCCATTAAGGAAGGAGCTAAATAAAAACTTCACTGACAGAGTATAATTATGCAGTATAGCACAGGTGCACCCAAGCAAATGGAAAATACGAATAAAAATTAGGAAGGCATTTTGCTTTACCTGCTTTTCCGTTTTCGGGGTGGTTTCTCCACTGTGCCAGTCAGTCTACAGACCAAACAGATAAGATGGTAACTAAAAGTAACATACCAGAACACATCTGCGGGCCATACTGTGCCAGTCAAGAACTCAACGGACCGCCCTCGAGAATCCTACACTCGCTAAGCACATACCTGACCTTACAAAACGCCTTAGGCTCTCTGTTTCCCAGCGACCCCGGGACTCACCGTTCCCCTAATACCTGTTTTGCCCAAACCTTGCTCTGTCTCCTGGTCTCTCACTCCATCCTCATCTTATTCGTCACAGCCCACCTCCCCAAAACCACCCACCACCTCCTACTCATTGTCTGCTTTATCAACCCCGCAAGCCCCTCCGCTTCCCCTTCCCGGTGCCCACCCCCTCCCGCCCGTGCAGTGTCCCCCCGAGCCCCGCCCCTCCAGGCCCGGCGCCCCCCGCATTCCACGGCCCCCTCCACCCGGCGAGCGCGTTCCTGCCCCTCCCGGGCCAGCGCCCCGAGTCTCACCCGTCGGCGCCCCTTCCCTCACACACCCCTCTTATCCGGCCGGGAGGGTGCGACCGCCGGCCAGCCCGCTCCACCGCCCCCTAGGCGACCCCCGAGTTCCCCGCAGCCTGAACCCTCCGCCCCACCAGTCTCTGCGCCCCCGAATGCCTCACGGCCCCAAGCTGCTGCCCTGGGCCCGCTCCCGCGCCCCCGCCCCATCCCCAAGCCCGACCTCCATCCAGCCCCCGCCCCACCTGGGGGCCAGGCGACTCCGCGGCTGCTGGGGCTGCCGGGCTCCTCTGACCATCCGGCTCCTGCTCCGCCGCGGGAGCTGCTCCGGCGGCCGCAGGGCTCGCTCGGGAAGCTGAGGCGGCGGAGGCTTGGAGTAGGCGGAGAGGCGGGCGGAGGGCCTCGCGCCTCTGCCAGGCTTGCCGCGAGACCCGCCTCCTCCGCGCCTTTCCTCGGCTCCCATTGGCTAGAGCTGCAGTGTAGCCGAAAACCTGGCGGTCGATTGGACTCTCGGGCCGTCACATCCCGCCACCTAGAGTTTGGTTGAGACTGCAGGTGGCGGCGGAGGTGCCTTAGAGACTGCTAGCAAGGCCGGGGATATCTAAGCGCCACCGTGCGGCCGAAAGTAGAAACTGCGTCTCCGGCGCCAGACACCTGCGGGCAGGTTCTTCTGGGCTCAGCTTCCTGCATCCCACACACCTGCTGGCGCCCCCTGACACTGCGCCACGCCAGACCTAACAGCCAAGCGCTACAATTTCCCAAACTCCTCTGGCAGGTGCGACAGTGAGCGAAGTCTCCAAACTGAGCTTCATTTTGAACCACCTCATATCCGGTCCCAGACTACATCATGCTGTAGTGGTCAGAACTCAGAGGCGCTTCATAGAGAATCCAGCAAGAAAACTGTAAGAATCTTATCAAAATAAAGCGTGATTTAGGTGCTCAGTACTCTGCAGAGATCACATGCTTGGGTACAGGCTTCCAAGAAAGCAAGAGGTTTATAAAATAAATTACCAAGAAAGGAAAAATCAACCCTGCAAACAGAATTGATGCCATAACCAAAAGCAATGGGCTTCGTTTTCAAATGCCTGTATAGAATTGACCCCTGAATGTGTTGCTAACCATCCTGTGATACTGAAGGTAATTGTGACCTCTGCTTCAGCTAATCGATTTTGAAATAAATTTCTTTGCATTTTTAGTATTGTTGCCAGACATAAGCATGCAAGACTACCAGCACATAAGCATAATGTCAGTCATCTTTTCTGCTTTAACAAGACCATCCTTCAAAATAAGACGTAACTCATTAACATATTAACAAAATTCTTCCTTTTTGGTGGAATCCCCTTCCCCTTGCTGCATTCCTCTGTAGTTTTTGTTTGGAAGAGCCTCAGAATCTATTTGGAGCTGAGAGGAGGAATAACTTTCTCTTAAGCTACTTCTGTTTTAGTGGAACATGCTTTTGTGCATCAATAATGTAACAGCTTAGAGTTATACACACTAAAAGTCTTGGGACAAATCTCTTACTGATCTCCACAAACGGCAAAAATAATACTAATTTTTCATAAAGTCAAATTTATTTGGTGTAAAGGGCTGTCCTTTATTCTGAGACAGCTCTTTTTACATACTTCCTTCAGTGAAATGATGGTAAATTGTAATGGAACCTTTAAAATGGCATTGACAAGGAAAAACAATTGAACATGTTGGCTCCCCAAATTAGTATTTTACATAATCCCAAAATTATAGAACCAGTCACCTAATTCCCAAAGTAGTATCCACCCTTACTATTACCAAGAAAGAAAAAGGAAAGAACCCCAGAATAATTTGTCAGACTGGGAAAGATGGGGTAGGAGTCCTGGTGGGATCAACTTACTAAGACGACTAATTTTGAAAGTCATTTACTATGTTTCTCAAAACATGAATTAAAACTGTCTAGTTTTCATGGTTTTTCACAATTGGCCAATGCTTCTGTAACACAGTACTGTCAATAGAGCTGCAGCTATTCATTTCTTAAGCTTTCCCAAGAAGTACATACCCTCAATTCTATCTCCAAATCATGTCCAAGTTCTAGTAATCCCTGCTTCTGTGCTTCTACCACATGAAATGCACGGCCCATCATTCTGGTACATGTTCCTCTTTTAATTCACACTTCCTCTTTTAAGCCTTCCCAACTACTCCATCCTAATCAAACATGTCCTTCTCCAAATTTGTTGTACTTATATAAACTACACTGTGTCAGCAATTATATATTGCCTTGGATTACTCTTACTTCCTAACTACAATGAATTTGGGCAAATGGCATATAAGTGTGCTCTCAATAAACTGCAACTTTGGATCAGGGACTGGGTATTTTGAATGCTGTTTTTAATCCTGAGACCAACCCTGTATGATATTCTTAGACACAGAACTTTTAAGATTAGAATCCAACTTGCTTGGGGGTCACACAGCTACAATAACCAATATTGTGTAAGATGTACTACTCTAGGATGCCTTAAAGGGGTTCAAGTTCTAGCTCTCCTGAGAGTTACCTATGATGAGTTTCCGCATTTGACGAACAAAGAGGTAATATAGTCATCGAGCCATTTTAAAGATGGTACAAAATAAGGCATGTACAGTATTCAGCTAAGTGTGCTCAATACAAGTTAGATGTTCTTACTGCCTGGCAGACCTGGGGTTCTTTCCTAGATTGATCCCAAAACCTACATTCTTTCCACTGTTCCATAATGCCTGCACTCAGTCTTTAATAATGCATTTCCATTTATATAAAAAAGAGCAAACTGCCGAGAACAGTGGATCCCCAAGGACTGAGTGGAATATACTTACTATTTTTGTTGACACACATGCAAAAAAAAAAAAATTCATAAACCTCATGCATTTTTGAATTAAGGAAACATTTGAATGATCCAAACCAGCATAAACTTACTATCACAAGGGTGAAAAAGGCACATATTCACCAAGTGATTAACAGGAAAACTAGTAAGATGTGAACAGGCTCCTTCCCCAAGCATCTACTGTGCGTGGTTTCATGCTAGGGGACTTTCCAAATGCTTCTTGTTCGGTGTTTTACTACTGTATATTTCATCAGCATGACTTCACACTGTTTAATTACACAAGTGAAAGAGTTGTGACGATCTCATGAAGCAGGGTTCTGGGCAGTGGATCCAGCACAGAACAATGAATGTTGCCTTTAAAGAACTGGGACACTTAGAGTCAAATGCAGAACAAGAAAAGTTTCACTTCTGTTTACTAGTCAAGCAACCAAGTAAAGGAATAAGCATTTTTTTAAATTGTGTTATATAAAATGCTAACTTCTTGTTGGGACATACTACAGATTGCATTAGATAAAATTTTTTGACAAACTTCCTATAATCTTTTTATTAATTTACACTGAGAGAATATAGCACCTTTCATCCAAAGAACTGAAGGTGCTTTACAAACATTGGCATTTAGAAAACAAGTACATTTAAAAATCTGGATTTTTGCTGTTAAATCTCTTCCACCCCAGATATACAGTTTTTTGGAGGCTGATGGAAAGCAATTCTATTTCTGACAATGAAAGAGGCTCAGAGAGAGTTCGGATTTGCTTTCACAGTACAGGCATTTTCCAAAACCTGATGCTGGGCTTACAAAGCAAAAACACACAAATCTTAATGCAAAGAACAGTATTTCAAACCTTATTTCAAAAGCAAAACCCAGGGTTTAAGACATCAAAATTGTCCAACAGTTCTAGACATCCAGATGGAGTAGGAGATGATGCAGGCTGCATATTAGAGATGTGCTCTTGATCCAGGCTTTTTAAGAATAAACACATTTAAAATGGTGAGATTTTTCAGGAAAAACCATTAACCGAGAAAAAGCTAGCCAAGAGCATATCAGAAAAATGAGGAAAGGGGAGTAATTGGCAATTAAAAGTAGACAGTTCTCACTAGAGCCTAGGACATTTTATTAGAAACCAAGTATATCATTGGCAAATAAAAATAGTTATTACCCCCATTAATACAATATAAGGGATTTTACATTCAGCCTAGACACAGGGAGTAACAGAGCCTCCTGCCTATAAATCTGTGACTTGCAAGTATTTTCCACCACATGATTACTCTAAATAGTACATAGCCCTTTTTATTAGAGGGATCCAAATATTCCTTTTAGGCTTACAAAGTCCAATACATTCACTCTCTCTTCCCTTTACATGTCTAATAGTAAAAACTTTTTTTCATGCAAAAAGCCATTATTCAGTTGAAGAGAAAAAATCAGGCAAAACAGAGATGGCAGTTAAGGAATGGACAGAAATATTGGCACGTGCCCAACTAGTGACAAACAAATGCAGTACACCATGACTTAAAAATAAAAGTCACATTACACGGATAACTAAAACAACTACATCAATCTAAGCTAAGGAGTGTCAAATGGGAAGGAAGGGCTGAGGGTTACTGATTTTATTGGTACAACTTAAAAGCAGGTGAGAGCAAGCACTTAAATACAATTTATGGTAACAGAAAAAAAAAAAAATACTGCAGAGAGCTGTTCCAAGACCAAACCAAGTTGTCTGCATCATTAATTTCCAGTGTTTCACAATTAGTAAAGTACATAGCTACATATCCCTGCAAGATAAAAAATACCTTTCCCCCTGAATTACACTGGGGTCAGGGCAGTAACACAAAGCTACCGACCCAACAGTTCAAGTGTTTGCAGCAAATGTCTTAGTCACTTCCTTCTTGCAGCTATACAATTAAAAACTATACAAGGAGCTGTGTAGTTAAGGGCGTAAAAATTAAAACAGTATTGTGCTCATTTAATAAAGGAAAAGCCCTGATGAAAAATTATGTGCCAAGAAGCTTAGACTATAAAGATTTTTATTGCATTTTTAGGTAACCTGGAAGTTCTTATCCTGAATGGGAAAAAGTTGGTTTTCAAAACTACCTGAACAGATGCTAAAGTGCTTTATTAATTGGCTGGCTTCACAAAGATTTCCTGGAATGACAAAAAATTAATTATAGTAGTAAATGGATACCAACTATTTCACAAAATGGTTAATTCTAGCATCATTTATGACCAAAGTCATAAGAGACACTACTGGAACACTTGTCCTTATTAAGCGGACAGTTGCATATCAAGAACTGATCATCACAACCCTTTGGATATTCAAATTACTTACACAAAGCCAAAACATGGTATCACAGACCTTTACAAAAAGGACAATTTGGGTTTTTCTCTACACTTTAAAAAATCTGCTTCAGATTACAGTCCACAAATAGAAGAGTCCTGACTTTTCAACGTTTCCAGTTGCAGTTAAAAAATGAACACTTTCTAAAAGTTAAGGTCAAGTGTTACAGCAAGAGAAGAATGATTCCCATTGAAAAGTACATATATTTTACTCAAT